GAAGACTAGAGCCTATCTTCAGCTCATAGAAGCTGTCCCAAAAGCCTAGAACCTTTTTTTTTGGCAGTTCCTTCCAATGTTCCCCATTTCCCAATGACCACTCAATTCCGCCAACCAGTAGGAGAGTCTGTCAGCGCAAGTCTACCAGCAAGACAAAATCTTACATAAGACAACATAATTCACGGCCGTGGTATTTTATCACCTCTGTCAAAACCATATCTGTAGCTTCACAGAGAGTCACAGGCGCCATCCCTTCTCCAGGGGAGAGAGTACACAAAGGTGTGGACATCCGGAAGGAGAGGTCACGGGGAGTCCCTTTAGAGTCTACCCACCACATGGACCAGAAATTTGGAAGCCAGACAATTCTCTGGGGGCACTTGGGAGTAGAACGTTCATGCCTAATAGTAAAGGCAGATGGGAAACTATAAAACCCACTGCCATTGAATTGAGTCCCATAAACAACCTTATGTAGGATTTCGGAGACTGTAGCTAGCCTCTTCAAGCAATCCAGAAAAGGCAAGATGACAGTCTTATACGCATCAGAAATGAAGGCTTGGGGACTGACTGATCAAAAGACCCAGCCAACTGAGAGCAGGAGACAAATGGAATAAGTAACCAGAGAAGGAAGTCATCTAGGCAATTATCGCCTGCTGGCAAAAATGAAGCCTGATCATTTGCATATCTCCTCTGTTAAGTATACAGGGAGTTTTCCCACATGCTAGCCATTTTCCTTCTCTGTCTCTCTCTTTTCCCCATTTTTATATAGAAATTGTTGGAAGCTAATGTTACAATTTAGTCTTTCTCCAAAACAAAAAAATCCCCTCCTTGCCAGAGTTGATTCTGACTCACCGCCGCCTTATAAGGACAGGGTACAACTACCTCTGAGTTCCTGAGCCTGTAACTCTTGATGGCAGTAGAAAACCCCGTCTTTCTTCTGTGGAGCAGCTGGTCGTTTTGAACTATTGTCCTTGTGGTTAGCAGCACAACTCATAACCACTACTCCATGGGAGTGTGATAGAATTTGAGATGACAGCCAGAGACTGTATAATTTCCTCATTTGGGGGGACACAGGAGAACATCTTCACCTGTAAGATTCTGTATCTCGTTAGGCGGAAAGACAATTGTTTCATTGCTGTCTACCAGGGGTCCTCAAACTACGGCCTGTGAGCCACACGCGGCCTGCCGAGGACATTTATCCAGCCCGCTGGGTGTTTTTGCCCGTTTGTTTTTTTACTTCAAAATAAGATATGTGCAGTATGCATAGGAATTTGTTCATAGTTTTTTTAAAACTATAGTCTGGCCCTCCAATGGGTCAGAGGGACAGTGAACTGGCCCCCTGTTTAAAAAGTTTGAGAACCCCTGGTCTAGACACTCACATGTCCACTGAAAGGTGGAGATGCAAGGTGAGTTTCCAGAGGGTGCGTGTGGATTGTGCCATCATCCATTCATCGGTTCTCAGCCACAAAGACACTCTTGGATGTGCTCTGTGACAGTCACTCGGAGCGTCCTATCACCCTGTGACTCCGAGCAGTTCTCATTTTCTGGCTGCCCCAGGGGCCAGCCTTGTCAACTGAGAAAACCCTGTGAGAAGAAGGGTTTCTGGTCTCTGTTCTTGTGCTTCTCACACCAGAAGCCTGGAGTTGGCAAGGCTTCTTCAGTGCAGTCAGAGAAAGGAGGAGGGTCAGAAATAGCAGGAACACTCGGACCCCACTCCCACTCCCACTCCCAAACCCACTGCCTCCCAGTCCATTCTGACTCATAGCCACGCTAGGTAGCCTCATAGGGAGCACGTAGCCTCATCGTTCTCCTGCAGCATGGCTGGTGGGTTTGAACCCCTGACCTTGCAGTTAGCAGTTCATAAAACATGGCAAATTGCCTCCATGAACAACAGCCTCCTTTCCCATGAGCCCAAAGGAGTAGATGGTAACTGGTTATCATAATTAAACCTTTGGATCAAATTATATAGATCCTGATCAGAAGAGGGAAACCGCAGAACAGAATTTGAAATCTCTATGGAATCTAGACTTCCCGGATCCACGGAGAACATGAACCTCCTAAATTATTGCCCTGAGATACTCTAAGCTTTAAACCTCCTTGAAGTCCTTTTAAAGCCAAACAATGGAGTAGCTTATTAATTACTAACAATGAAATAGCTTATTACGTAGTAAAGAAGGCTTGCCTTGATCATGATGTTCTTTGAAGAACAATAACCCGCTGTCATCAAGTTAATTCAGATTCATGGCAACCTGTATATGGTTTCTGAGACTTTAAATCTTCATGGGAGTAGACAACCTAGTCTTCCTCTGAGGAGTAGCTGGTGGGTTTGAACTGACCACCTGAGGTTAACAACCCAATGCCTACCCACAGTGCCCCCCAGGCATTCATGAACCACATATGGGATTAAATTAACTACAGCAATGCAAAAGAGGAGAGAGGAGTTTTAGGAGATGGTGTATGTTACTAGGAAGTATATTAATAATTAAGAGTATATGCTGAATGTTAATAATAATACTTTGTTAATATTAATTCAGAATATATGTCAATAGGAAGGGATGGCTCCTCACTAGAGGGTGAGAATGATTACATAACTTAAGAATGCAATCGACGTCACTGAATTGTACATGCAGACATTGTTGAATTACTTTCTTTCCTTCTGTGTCTAGTCTCCACAGTAGCGATAGACATAACATGTTAGAAATTAAACAAAGCTGCTCCCGTGCCCAGCCTCTGGAACACGTGGCTTCTGCCACACTATACTCGGATGATCTGCTCTGCTCTGCTCTGGGTCCAGGGCAGTCAGCAACACTCAGAGACAAAGGCCTTTCTGACAGCACAGCAAACAGCAAGAGCATCATGCTTCATCTGTTCCCCTGGTCCCCACGTCTCACCAGGGTGAGCAGGGAACCAAAGTAGATGTTACCCATGCTGTGGCCTTCTGTCCCAACCAGCCAAACAAACCTGAGGTTGGGGACCCAGAAAGGCACCCACCCCCACTGCTTTAACAGGAAGCAATAAGGAAGCCTGCTCCTGGTCCTCATCCCTCAGGATTGCTTGCTGCAAACATCCCTGAAAGATGGCTGGGTAAAGAGTGGAGATTACCTTAGTTCTTGGCACAGCAAGTGACAACAGGCAGGGATACTCCAGATGCCGCAGACTCCCCGCCATCTGCCTGGTCAAAATCTATCAACCCTCGAATGACACCTTGTTCTTAAAGGCTCGCCCCTACCCATCCTACTACCCAGACTCTTCCCTTCTCTCTTCTGTGTTTTCCTTACAACTCTCATCCACACCTCACTCTGGTGCCCACCTCCAGCCTTCCCCTCCCAAACTCCATAACTCACTGTCATTAAATCTATTTCGACTCAGGCGACCCTAGAGGATAGGGTAAGAACCACGCCTGTGGGTTTCCGAGACTGTAACTCTTCATAGAAAGAGGAGCGGCTAGTGATTTTCCACTACTGACTGTGAAGTTAGCAGCCCTGGCATAATCCATGAGGCCACCAGGGCTCCTTCCCTCCCAGTAGGGAAGTGTCTGGTCATCTTCATTCCTGCATTCCTCACCAGTTTCTGTCAGGACTGTGGACTTGGGCAGAATCAAGAGATTTCTGTATGGTTATGCCCTCCAGATCGGCTGCTGGACTGGCCCTGGGAATGTCAATAGGTTAAAAAATATCCCTCCAAATCCACTCCCCAGGCCTTCTCCATCCAATCATCCACCCATCATCCATCCATCCACCCATCATCCATCCACCCATTATCCATCCATCCATTCATCTATCCACCCATCATCCATCCACCCACCCATCATCCATCCACCCATTATCCATCCATCCATTCATCTATCCACCCATCATCCATCCACCCATCCACCCATTATCCATCCATCCATCTATCCACCCATCATCCATCCACCCACCCATCATCCATCCACCCATTATCCATCCATCCATCCATCCATCCATCCATCCATCCATCCATCCATCCATCCAATCATCCTTTCTTTCCAGGCCTTCCTTACAAGGAGCCAAATGCCTTTTAAAAGAAAACAGATTCTCTTCCCTCAAGGTTCTGTTTGCATCGGTGGCTGACTCAGAAATGGCTTGTATGGCACGACCAGTTCAGTACCTAGATCCAGCCCCAGCTGTCAGTCCCAGCCCGACCCTGCTGACACCGAGGGTCTCCCCAAGAATTACTGAGGGATACAGAGGAAAAGCCCCCAAATTCCCATCAGAAGCTCTAGGTTTCAGTTCCAACACCGATCCACAGGTCATGATTCTCTGAGGAGGCCACGTCACTAGCCTGGGTCCTTGCTTTCTCACTTCACGTAGCTGAGAATAAAAAGCAGGTGCAAGCTATAAAAGCGCTTTGAATACTGCATGGAGCCTGCAGTTGGCTCCATGAACAAGGTCAACCTCCTTGACCCCAGTTTTCTCCAGCCGTGACCCAGAGCTAAGAAGAATTGTTTTATAGGGCTGGTGGGAGGAGTAAGGGGAGCAATGAGTATTAAGTGTTCATCATGATGTCTAGCGTTGAGACGTGGCTGTTGTGAGCAGTTGAATAAAAGTGCAACTCAATAGTGATGAAGCTGTGTCGCCGAGCCCAGGGGGCCCCACTCCAGAACCTGGATGAGGCACCTCCCTGCCCACCCTACTTTACCTAAATATGTATGTGGCCACAGGCATGATCATTTGTTCAATACAGATACACGTGCAGAGCTTTCCGGATCCTTTTAAGGGTCAGGCACCTGTAGGTGGCGTGAGTGGGCAGTGACTTTAGTGTCCAGAGAAGCCACACCATTTTTTTTCTCCTCAAGGGAATCAGGCTGCTCACAGAAGGGCCTGCTCAGCCAAGCCAAGGGCCAATGGGCTCCTCCTGTGACCAGATAAGGGCATGAAGCAGCCAGGCATCTGACGTATGTGAGGCCCAGGGTAAGAGGGCCTCTCTCAGTTCCTCTGCTGTTCCTACAGTCACTCAGTCCTACCAGCTCTGCGGCCATTTACTGTGGGCCTGCTCTACACCGGGCCCACACTAGGGTGGCACAATCATGATACCCACTGGTTACAATGTAGCCAACCTGGAATGACTGCAGAGGGAAGCGCCAAGTGGAGGCCTAGGGGAGTGGGCAGACAATAGACTAGGAAGCTGGGCCAAAGGAGGGAACATTTAAACTGACCTTCACTCCTTGAGGCCAACTCGAAACCGGCCATGTAACTTGGGCTTCTTTTAATGTGAGTATTGAAGGATCAACAGGAGTTTGCTGGCCACGTTGGAATTTAGGAATAAAGGGCATCCTGGGCTTATTTAGGCACCCTGGTGGTGTAGTGGGCTGCACGTTGAGCTTCTAATTGCAAGGTCAGCAGTTTGAACCCACCAGTGGAACCACAGGAGAAAGATGAGGCTGTCTGCTCCTCCAAAGATTTAAGTCTCAGAAACCCAAAGGGGCCATTCTCCTCTGTCATCTATGAGCCAGAACCAACTCGGGGCAGAGGGTTTTGGGGGTTTATTTGGGAAACAAGAGGTTTGATTATTAATATACTGAGTGAGAAACCAGGGAGTTATTAGTCGGGGAGGGGGAGGAGGGGTGTCCCGATTGTGAATTATGTTTCAGGCAGGAGAGAGAATTCAATCTTGGGCTTAGTGGGAGGAGCTGTTTACTGAAGAAACAGGTCTGCGTTTTAGGAATATGCCGACGGGGCTCTGAAGTTGGATGGGCCGGGAGAGAGGAGAGGCCTGTTCCAAGACCAATTCGGTGAGCTTCACCCTTTAAGGCCTCTTTTCCAGCTCAGTGAAATGAAGAGAGTGATCGTCTTTATCTCTTGGGGCTGTTTTGAGGCTTAATGGAGGTCGGCTGTGCATCACAACCACATTAAAGCACCATCAGCTTGATGGCAGGCAGTTCTGCCTAGTGGTCAAGCCTACCAGCTTTGTAGCCATTCCAGACCTAGATGGTGGGGTGGGGGGGAGATGACAGAGCGGGGCTGATAGGACCTTGCTTTGTGGGGTGTGGCCTGGGGCAGTGAGACCTGCCGTGGGGGGGTGGTAATCCCTTACTCTGCAGTCACTGAATCAGCTTTTTGCAAGCTGCTTTTGAAGTGGGCCTTGGAGCATGGTCTAGGTCAGTGGTTCTCAACCTTCCTAATGCCTTGACCCTTTTAATACAGTTCCTCATGTTGTGGTGACCCCCAACCATAAAATTATTTTCGTTGCTACTTCATAACTCATTTTGCTACTGTTATGAATCGGGCCACTCTGTATAAGGGTCATTCGACCCCCAAAGGGGTCTCGTCCCACAGGTTGAGAACCGCTGGTCTAGGCGCTCAGGCCCAGTGTATGTCAATTCCAGACCCGCCCTGCTCTGTGGCTGGACTCTGCTCTAAGGAAGAGCCTGGAGGAGAAAGCTGAATGAAAGGGGCGCAGCCGCTGGACTTGATCTGGTTTCCAAAATGTTCTGTATTATTGGTTTGGTTTTTGTTTGTTCATATTAGAGTGTATCTCAGAGGTGTTCTGTCCATGGAGGTCACCCTCCTGAAGCTGTGTTGTATGCTTTTCCGTATTCGGTCTATGAAACCCAGGGCTGATGAGCCCATAGGGGCAGCGTGTAGAAGAATGGGTTGGTGGTGTGTGTGTGTGTGTGTGTGTGTGTGTGTGTGTGTACAGTGGTGGTGATGGCATAAAAGGGGGACGGTGCCAAGGAGTCCATGTAGAAAAAGAATGGTTGGAAACGGATTGTGGTAGCAACTGCACATTCTATTGGATGTGATTGAAATATGGAATGATAGCTGTATTAAATCCCAACTAATAAAAAACAAGTCAAACAGAGAAAGGGGCCCAGCCAGAGATTGGAGGGCGCTCAGGAAGCCAGCTTTCCTTTCCAGGCGGGGCGCCAGAGCAGGGCAGGCCCAGATGTGGCAAATTTTGCAGTGGGGCAGGCTGGAGCCCGAGAAGGGAAAGGGGGCGATCTAGGGGCCGCGAGGCTGCGGGGCGGGCTGGGGGCGCTCGAAGGAAGTAAGGACCAGGCGCAGGGGTTCGGGCGCGCGAAGAGGGGAAAGCAGGGGCCTGGAGGGGCGCCGGGGCGGGAGGGAGGCAGCGTGAGTGAGTGGTGGAAGGAAATGAGAGGCGCGAGAGGGGGTGGAGGGTAGGAGGGGTGGGTCCAGAGAGGGAAACGCAGAGAGAGGAGGGGCAGGGCTGGGAGAGGCCGAGAGGAAGCGCCG